CATCAGGTTCTCAGTTCAAAGCTGGGGTCTCGTGTCACTTTCACAGTATTTATTGCCTTCCAGCTCTCTCATACCCAGATGTTACTTTGCTAGTGAATACTTATGTGCTTCCCTCCATACTGTCTGGTACATGTGGGAGGAGTGCCCACAAAAAAAACTTCACAGTCACCCCTAAAATCCTTTCTTCCAACTTTTCTCTGCAACAAAACTCACAACTTCCTTAGAAACCACTGGGCTGATGTGCTGCAAGTCGTCCTTACAGCTCTGACCAAAACTGTTACCTAGTCATGTGCACCATAGGCTGCCCCACCTGCAACTCTTTGCAACCTCTGCTTATATTTGGATTACAACCTCTTCAGAAGGCAGACTGGTTTAGTTTGTATTTGTGCAGCACTCGGACAAATTTAGGATTCTTTAGGATTCCAGTGGGATACGGAGCACAAATACACAGTAATTATATTTAATAAAGCAAATGGAGCTAATTTAAATTACTGCTTAAAATATATCAATATGTATTAGGTCATAAATAAAAATCGACCTACATGCTGTCCTGGATATCTTTCAGAGTGGGAGGAGTCACTAAGTCAGAGTATCATCAATCATAGTTCCTAAAGCAGCAAAACCCAAACTGCTGCTGCACTGTAAGACCCTAAGTAGCCAGAAGGCACAGACGGAATGTTTGAAATTCAAACTTCATCTGTCTTTATTGTGTTTCAGCCCTAAAGCTCTCAACAATCCTTCTGAAAAGTCATTCCTGCATATTTTTCAGTATAAGGACCAAGCCTTAATTTATAGTAGACTCTTGCAAGGTGGTGTCTCTGGGCTTTGGCCTGGAGAAATGTAAAACTTCTTGAGTTTAAATGGATTTTGAAACAAAGCCATGTATGTTTGTTCACAAAGGCTTATGAGTTACCCTTTGGGCTGTCTTACACTGTGCACATTATATATTTCTGTTTAGTTATTTTCACATTTGTCAAACACATTTATTCATCCTAAGTTTTCTAGTGAAATTTAGGTATGGATATGTTTAAGTACTATGGATAAACATAAAATTTTAACCCCCTGTCCCCTTTATAGTAAGTCTGAAATTTATCACAGGGTATTCTCTTCCCTATTTCAGGAATGCTTGAGAGAATCCTTTGCCCTTACCAAAAAAAAAAAAAAAAAAAAAATTCCTCTTGGGAGATAAAGTATAGCCTAACAGATAATCACAGTAAAATTTCATACATGTAGCAAAGAGGTCCAAAATGGAAGAAGCCTCACTGTCTTAGCTGTAGTGAATACTCTGGCAGCTACAGCAAAATACCTTCTATACCTACAGCACTGTTCTGGTTTGAAAGCAAAACCAGTGAGAGACTCCAAGTCAGAAATACAATTTATTGGGAAAAGGACAAAAAACCACATGCAATAATACAAAGGGAAAGACTATTGACAAAGTCAGAATACAACCTGGCCAGTGTGCTGGTAGCAGTCTAAATTGGAGTAGCTGCAGTCCTCTTGGCAGATGTAGTTGCTGTGTCTTCTGGGAGAACCTGTGAAAAGGCTGACCCTCTGTCTAGAAATCCCCAGTTTTATCCAGGTTGGAATGCCTAGCTCCTCCCCCCTGGGCAGAGCATCTTACAATGGGTCATTATGAGTCACGAGGTGTGTCCTTAATCACCTGCTCCTGGACGGTGTTATCTCTGAGTCATGTGGCAAGGCATTGATGGGGCTATTAACAGCAGATAAGGAAAACTGCCTCAAGGCAACTCCTACTCAGATGGTAAATAGGAAAACGTTCTTTTTTTAATCTTGGACAAGCGTGAGAGGATGGGTAACTCATTACCTTGCCTTGCCAAAGAAGTTGTTGAATGTCCTCTACTGTTAATTTCTTGATTCCCTTGGGGTGACACTTAGTTCGTGGCAATATGAGTACAGTGGCAGTGTGGTGCAAATGTACAGATAATCTTCACAGCTACAATGGTGAGATACTGCTAATGCTAATACAGATTTATAAAGACCAGCATACAGGATGCTAGACAAGACCTGATGCACCATGTCAGATGAAAGTCTGGTTCTCTACACAGAGAACGCTATTTCACACCCATGCACGAGCACGGAGCAGTCATCTTAACCCCAAGACTCATCATAACATATGCCACCAGAAATTCAGCTCAACCAAGCATAAATGAAAAGGGGACAACAGGACTCCTTTGTGTATCATGGAGACAGTAGAGGAGGCTGGGAATTGGGAAGAGTTTTTAATCCAAAGCAAGGTTTTGGTCAGAGACACTCTTAAGGGCTGCAGAATGGCACACAGGCAGCCTCAGAAAGGGCCTATATGGATGGAAGTGTTGGTTATCCTGGAAAATCCTTTCCTGTGTTCCCATTGTCATGCACCAGCCTGGCAGAAGGCCATTAAATACCTAGCAGGGACATATAATTAGATGGGTATCAAAGACACATACACCTTTCGCTGATCTCTGAACAGAGCATGTGGTAATCGATAAATTTCAGCATTTATTTAACAAGATCCAATCTAGCAAAATATTTCCATCACATTTGCTATATACAGTGTCTGAATTGTCACCAAAAATTGTCATCAAAATATTAAAAGACAAGTCTGTGTGTAGGAGGGTTGCCTGAACACTGTGGGCTACATGCTGATAACTAGATTTCATGCCCTTTCTGTTATTCAAAAAATATTCCTGCTCAGATTAACAGAATAAAGCCAAATACTTGAGCATATTATTTTAATAATTTATTCAAAGGAATTTACTGGAAATTAGGCAACTAAATATCTGATGGATAAAGGCTTCAGTCATGAAAGACAAAATACTGTCTAACTGCAAAGTCCAGCCTCTAGTTAAGAAATACACTGAAGTACAGGTTATATGAGCACCAGATATTGAGGAGTTTTTTTCTTTCACATTTCAGTCTGCAGAGTTTGCAATAAAATGTCATTCAAGTTTACATAATAAGTTAAAACAAAAATTAATACTGATGAGCCATAATGATTTAGAAGATTAGCTAGTGAGAAGTTCCTTTCTATGCATACCATAGTTAAAAATATTTCTATGTTAATTCATACTGTGTCAGTAAGTATAATGATTTTCCAATTCTGACTCCCTTCTCTGTATGAAACTACTGAAATGCTGTAAGAAGGCAGTGGTACTATAGGCCATATTCTTTGCTGCCTTTTCATACAAATTCCCCCTTGAAGTAATGTGTAAAGTTCAGTCAGGAGAGTTGTCCATTTTCTTTGGCTTTGATCGCTCACATCCTTGCACAATGTATAGTTGGAAGCTTAGATATGCTGTTCTCAAGGCTAATTTTGCTCTTCTGTAAATCTAGAAGAGTCTGGATGATGTAGCATTGAGTGTGTGACTGTCAGCTAACCAGCTCTGTCATTTGTCCTGTTGCTGTGTGGCTTTCCTTGCCTCCTTCCTGATGAAATTTGCTGTGGTTGTTTTCCAGACCAAGTACAAGCAAATACTGCATCTGGACTACAAGAAAATTTAGGTGAGACCTGCAATCTTCCATTAAGTGTGTAAATTATTCGCAAGAACCTGTTCTCTTATACGTTTCATTACAAAAAGGGTAAAAAAGGAGCACAAAAGCTGTTAAAATTAATGACCAATGATAGTAGGAACCTTGGTCATCAGAAAAAGCTGGTGTAAAAGCAACATGAATTTTAGGAGAATTGGATTCTCTGACTTAACAGGGACCTTCAAAATTACACTACACCTCCTTGTTGCAGTTCATATTTATTTTACTAAGTTTTATTAGGTTGACTGTTATAGTGGTATGTTCTGTTATCCCCTCATGTTCTCCCTAAATTGGTTTCCCCCTCAGTTGTACCCTCCCACCCAGCTGCCCCTCAAAGAATCTCTTCCCTTCCTTCCAGACCCTTCCCTCTCTGCCAAGGCAACCCAGCCCCTTTGTCCTGTCTGTCAACCTAAACCTTACCATTGCTCTGGAAAGTTCCCTGTCCCTCACCTCCAGGACCAATCCCAGATGGAACCCTCTCTTCTCCCTTTTCCCTGATTTGTGGCATCCCTGAAAACCACTCTAAGAGTTACTCTCATGGTGTCCACTCCCTGTTTTGTGAAGTTTTAAAAACTCGTGCACAGCGGTGCTTGGGGTTCTGCTTGCCTGTGTTCCCTTCAGCTCTCCTCTCCTGTGTACCCTCCCCTTGCCTCACCCAATAAACCTGGTCTTCACATAGCAAGAGAGCCTCTTCTGCCTCTTTTATCCAATCTTCATCACACTTTCAGGGGTCTCCAGTACTGGGCATTTGGCTCAGAGGTTCCAGTTGAGGCAATACCCAACCTGGTCGGTTCCCCAGTCTTGCCCCTGGACTATTTTGGAGCCCACCTGGGCTCCAGAAGCTAGTGGCACCTCATGTCTCCTCCTCTTAGGATAGGACAGGCTGTGTGATACCAACATTTGGCAAGGTTATCTCTTCTTTTTAAATACTGCTTTCTTGAGTACTGTGTTGTTTCCTCCATGTCCTGGCTTGAGGGACATTTTAATAAGCTTTCAGACCTTTCTAAACATTTTCTCTTCTTTTCTCCTAGGCATCCTTCCAAACAAATCTGTCACTTCAGAAATAAGTAACCCAGAAGGAGCTACTTATTGTGTTTGGAAAGTCATATCTTCCACGTAACACAAACCACAACACTTCACCCAACCATTTCTATAGCAAGGTTTCACACAAACTTCAGCATATCCTCATAAAGGCAGATGTTCTCTGTGTAGGGATTTCACATGAGTGAATCTGGCACACACGTTGTCCAGCCCCTTCAGAGCTTGATTCACCTCACTGTTTAAAAATATTTTAAAAACATCTTGAATTTTTTTCTGACTCTAACATCCAATGACAAGGATCATGGTATGTATTTTTATGCCGGATTTCAATAGCTAGTCTGTTCATTCCCAGACGAGTCAGGAAAGTGAGAAACCAAGTATTCCTCTGTACTTTTTGGTGCTTCTGAACTTTCTTTTTCCTTCTTTCCCAGATATAATTTTGCTCTCTACCTCAGTATCTGGGCTCTCCTTCCTGACCTTGTTATTATACTAATGTGAGGTTGCAAACCCATTCATATTTCATCTTTGGTCCATAGGCTTGTGAGACTACAAAATCTGTGGCATAGTCTCACCTTCTCTCACTATTCATTTCCAATTAAATAAAGAAGATTAACTATTAACACTTACGACAAGACTGCCCTGAAGGAAGAAGTGTTCCATGACAACATGGATCAGCTTTGGGATGTACCCAGTGTCCATTCAGATTTGGTGGCTGATCTTCTGAAAGATCTCTCCAACAACAACAAGCAAGTGGAGGAGTGGAAAGGAGCTCTCTGTGGGAGGGGGTGTGGTAGGTGACCTCCCTGCTTTGCCATGGGAGGCCACAGATGTGTAGTTTTCCCGCCTCCCAAGTTGTCTGTCATCTGTTCTCCCTTCCCCCAGTTTATGTCAATCACTTTGTACCCCTTCCCTTTGTTCTAGAAAGTTCCCAGTTCTTTGTACCCCCATTGGTTCTTCCCCCGAAACCACTACTTCCCTCTATCCCAGTTGGCCGTTGCCGTGTCACTCCTGCTTGACTCCACCCTCATACCCTCACCTGATTTGATGCTCTGTACCCTGACCCTCCTTCCCTGCAACTGTTATATACCCTACCCCGCCCCTGGTTCGGGGCTCTCAGAGCTGGCTCGCCCTCTGAGTGGCTGTGTCCCTTCACCACCCTCGCCTTCCCTCACTGAAGCCCTCAGAATAAAAGCCGCTTGAGAGACTCTCGCCCGGTGGAAGACTCTTCTCTTTACTACCACCGTCGCGTTCCAGAAGTCCCCGACCCTGTCGGAGAGACTGAGGTGCGCGATAGCTCTCCTGGAGTTGCTAAAGATCACAAGGGAAGATAATATTGGAGTTTGGGAGGAGCATTTCAAAACCATTCTGCTCTTGCTGCTGGAAACACTTGGAGACAAAGATCATTCGATCAGAGCTCTGGCACTGCGAGTCCTGAGGGAGATACTGCAGAACCAGCCAGCAAGGTTTAAGAACTATGTGGAGTTGACTATCATGAAAACACTGGAAGCACATAAGGATTCCCACAAGGAGGTCATCAGAGCTGCTGAAGAAGCTGCTTCCATCCTGGCGAGATCCATCCACCCCGAGCAGTGCATCAAGGTGCTTTGCCCCATCATTCAGATTGCAGATTATATGCCATCAAAATGCAAACAAGTCATCAAGAGGATTTCCAAGTAATCATTGCAACCACTCCTGCCTGATACCATTCCAGGACTGTTACAGGATTATAATAACATGGAGACGAGTGTCAGAAAAGCCAGTGTGTTTTGCCTAGTGGTTATTTATTCAGCAATTGGAGAAGAACTGAAACCTCATCTCGCACAATGCACAGGAAGCAAGATGAAGCTACTAGACTTGTATCTAAAGAGGGCACAGACCACCAACAGCAACAGCACCTCGTCTTCAAATGTTTCAACGCACAGTTAGTGGAGATGGTGGAAATATATGTAGACTTAGAAGCAGTCAACGGTGCCTCTCAGAGACCTTTCTGCTACTCTTCACTGGCGCACTCCATCAGCTTAAGGAGGCCCTGCAGATATTTATTGCAATCAGTATCATAATCTCTTAAAAGCTTTTATGTAGAATCTTACTGGTATTGAATATAAAGGAAGCAAGGTCTGTGTTGCAGTCTTCATTAAAAGTGAATATCAGAAAGCCATACTTAAACGTATTTGTATAACCTGCTGAAATCTCAGAAATATGTTTAGATTAGCATTTTAACACTGAGTCCAAGAATCTGGACACAGATTTGACTTTGTAAAAGTCAAACAAAGCTTGTTAGTTTAGTTTGTTCCCAGTTTTGGTTTCTGTGTGCTGGTTACCTTCTCTCTCCACCCACCCATTCTGTCTGGGTCCTTCTCTTCTTTCAAGTGTGGTGTTCCTGTTCTGTATTCCCCGTTGCAGCTTGCCTGACTTACAGGGCTCTCCATGGGGAGATCTTTGCAGGTGTTGCTGTGATTCCAGCCTCAGATGCTTTAATACTGAGAGATACCAAGTGAGTAATGAAAGTTCATTTTAAACATCTGAGTTTTGTACGTATTTCTGACAGACCATGGATGGGCTGATCTCTCTGTAGCTGCTATCCAGCCAGCTGTGCTGTGCATCAGCTGGGCTCTTGCTCTTTTCATGGACTTTCTCCCCTCTCAACCCATTTGACTCTTTCATATGTTGAAAAGATTCCCCCGGTTGCCCAAAGGGAACCTGATACCCAGTTCTGGAGCTAGGATAGTGGAGTTAGGTGGGTGGGATTGGGTTAGGCTCTGAGTGTGTCAGTGGGTGGGCAGTGGGAGCTGGCAGAGCTGTAGTTCAATGCCAGCTGTTTTCCTTGAAATCTGTAGCATCAAAGGGCTGATCTGCTGCTCTGACTGACCCACTGATGCTGGATGGTTTTGTCCCTACAGCTCCTTTGCACTTTGGGCAAAATGTTCATCCCACCAGACAGAAAGGGTGTCTGAATTAGAACAGAAATACCACATGGAAGCACCTCTGAGCCAACTGGCACAGGGACTGGTTCTCTGCCACCTGTGGTAGAGTAGCTGGCTGTGATAGACTCTGTACAAGGTAATGTAAGGGGTGGTGTGCCTGCTGGAAACTCCAAATAGAAATCATTAGCTTTTAAGAAAAAGATGGTTACTTTAATGAAACTTTCCTTTCTTTCCCTCCCAATCACCCTCCCTCTGGTATTACAAAGGAACTCTGGGGGAAAGGATTAGTGGAGGGAGGCCATGGAAAGGGGGAAAAGGTGGTAGGAATTTGTGGGAACATAAAAAAGGGGTAATAGAACAATGGAAAGGAAAAGAAGAAGGTGGGAGGGGAGCAGGGAGGCCACAGGAAATGGGGAAGGATATTAGAAGAAGTGGGACTTGTTGGACTGGAAGGTTCAGTCACTATCAAGGTAGACTTTTGGATGCAGGAAAGCTCGTTGGTGTTCTGTGCCCTTTTGGCTTTTAGGCTGCTGCTGGCATTTGATGGTTGTTGGTTTTGGGTTCTATTTCCTTGGTAGGTGTGTGGAGGACTTCTATGACAGGGATAATATTTCGCAGGTTTGCAGTTTGGTGCATATTTATTGCCTTGCAGTAAACATGCACCTGGAACTCCACCAGGTCTTGTTACATTGGGTGCTTGGGGGTCTTTTTTTTCCTTGTATTGTATTAAATTCCACAATTTCTCCATCTCCTAGACTGTGGAGGTATTTCCCAGGGTTATTCTTTGTGGTATTCACATATCCTCTGAACATAAAGAGACTTGGCTTTCTCAAGATTTTTTCCTGAGAGAATCTATGAGAGAAGCAGAGAAAAGAATGATCAAACAATTCTTATCTCACCTGCCACTGCTTGTTGTTGTGCACGTGTAGAATGTCTTATGGAGTTTGTTTATCCAAGGTGATTTCTCAATTGGATACTGGTGTTGGTGTTTTGGATTCATTGACCAATAGGATCCACATGTGTGGTGGGACTCTCAGCAGAGAGTCACTGATTTTTCTAGTTAGTTAGTTAGTGTTAGTTCTTGTTAGTGTAATATAGTGTAATATGGTTTTAGTATAGTATAATGTAAAAAGTAATTAATTAGCCTTTTAATATCATGGAGTTCTGCACATCATTCTTCCCGCTGGTCAGGCATCGTAACACCAATAATTCTTTTTTATAGCAGCCTGAAGAACAAACACATCCTCTTTGTTATCATTCCAGGTGATGAAATCATATCTGTTTTTCATATTGAACCAGGTCACTGTCCCCAAAACATTCATGGCAAGGACTTTTTTACCTTTGCCTGTGGATTTGTGTTTGTGTTGGTGGTGCTGGACATGTTGGTGCTGGTGCTGAGGTGCTGCTGTGAGCTTCATCTCACTCCTGGCACTGCCAGGACTTGGCCACAGACACACAGGGAGAGCTAGCTTGGGCAGCAGGAGTGAAAATGGAAGAACTTGGAGGAGTCTTTCCCTGTGACAGGGGAGGGAGTGCAGGGGCATGAAGAGGGGAACAGAGAAGAGGAATTTTCAGCTGGGCTTTGCCATTTTTTAAATGTTCCTCAAGATTCAGAACTCATTTCTTCATCATCTGAAATAAAAGATAGAATTCTCCATGGAATTTTTTTCTAGTTCTTAATTTTTCCCAAGCTACTTCCAAAAATTCATTGGTTGGGACTGAGTTCCACAAAATGTAAGGAAAATGCTTAAGTAACCAGTGTACAAAACATTTCAACTCCCCTCAGAAAAACAAAAATCTTCTTGAAGAAAAGACTTTTTAAGGTGGAAGTAAACTTCTTGTTCTGCATGGGTGAATGTTGTTTCCATCTGAACCCAATCTCTTCCCAAGACCCAAGAGTAAAAGAAGGAAGGAACTAAAATTTCAAATTCACCATACTGGGGAAAAAAAACCCAAATTCTTGGGGTGGTCTAGTGCAGATATTTTTAGGAGAAGAGGTCACTGTTCGGGTCACCATTTGTTGCAGCCTGAGCTGCTGCTAGTAAAGTCCAAGGTAAAGAAGCGGAAAGAGCCTTTGCATGCTATCCACAGATATTTAATTCAGCCACTCGGTGAGATGTTCAGAGTTTCAGGCACGCACACGTGAAGGGTCCAGGTTTCTCTCCCCAAGGGCCCAGGGAGACCCCGGTCTCCGGGCATTATAAAGATAAGGACCAATCAGGGAATAGGGAGGGAGTCTGGGACACAGGTACCAACAAAGGAACAGGGGAAGGAGCCAATGGGATTTTATCAGCTTTTCTCCAACCCAGGGTCTCCACAACACAATTAAATAAAGAAGACTCTACCAGAGACCATGTTTAATTTTGTGAGAGGATTGCACTTGAGGGAACCTACATAAGTAAAAACTGGAATTTCTGATATGACTGAAATGTAGACTTTGAAAACAGATGGTTTTAGCATTTTGTCATTTGTCAAATCTTCAATTTGTCATGCAATTGAAGAGACAAAAAGCCCAGTTACTGCTTTTCACAGACAAGAGCTGCTTCTTACAAGGAACCACCAGATAGGAAGCCTCAGCATGTCTGAAAAAATTAGGGGACAAGAAATATATGTTTCTGCCCTGGAGCTAACCACAGCCCCTGCATTATGTGAGGGAATGGGGAAACACCAGGTCCATTGCTCCTCTCCTGCCTCCAAGTACCTTCAAAAATGATGGAGAAGGAGTTGGTGCTCTTGAACGCATAAAAATGATGTGGTGCTGTGACCCAAAGTGTTGACTATGTTCTGCACCCTGGCAGACTCCAGGATAACCTCCTGAGTAGGAGTTGGGGAAGGGTAGAGATGAGACAGAATTGGCAAGGATTCATTCAGTCAAGAGTTGAAAAAGAGAAATCTTTGGTCTCTTGCTCTTCTCATCTAGAGACACGTTAAACACATTTCCCATCAAGAGCTACCTAGGGTCTAAATGCCAGAGGACCTTTGAAGAATAAATCTCAGTAGCTTTCATCTTGAATGACCACATTTTGGGGTGTTTTGGTGTGGAGTGCCAGGATTCAGGTCCATTTTCAGAAGTGCTTCTCACCAAAGGAAGGCTGCCTGCAGCTGTCAGTGCTTACTGCCTCCAGGAAACACAACCCAAAGGGTTCTAAACAACCAGAAATCAGGAGCAGCTTTTGAAATGTGTGAACTTCCAAAGCAGCTGAAGTAGCTGTGCCACTAATTAGGCAGCTTGCTACACTTCCATTGAGGTCTTCTCCACCACCAGCTTTTAAAAACAGACTTGATTGTTGAATAGCATGGCGATTTCTGCAAGTGCTTTTTTGTGAACATGGGCTTGGAACCACCACCACCTTTTTCCTTGTAGCTGTGGTTATATCCAAATGATACCTTATCATCAATTCTGGACTCAAGTGAGAATTCAAGGGATGTAAATGAGAAGGATGAGATTGTTAAAGGAGAAGCCACAGCCCAAGAATTCTCTCACCATCCAAGGAGTGTCACACATAGCACTCAGGCTCTCCTTGCTAGGACTGGAGTCTGTTCTCAGTGGGGCTGATGGGCTCCCTTCCAAGTGCTTGCACACACGCTCATTCTCAGGTACACTTCCTCCTTCAGGCTCTATCCTGGGTTTTCTGCAGCAGAATCTAAGGTGTCAGATTTATAAACATAAATCATTTAATAGAATGATACGGCAACAGATCAGCTTAAGCTAACCCAGAAACAAAAACCTCTGGGCAATTAGACCCCATTTATGCACCTGCCCTCACGTGCTCTTCACATGATTTCAAGTCCAATGGTTGTGGTGACTTTTGGGCTGGGATCTTCTAACACCTTATTGGATTCTTTCTCTGTCTCCCCATAGCCAGGCTGTTACCTGCTCTTATTGTGTCAAACTGTAGGTTCTGCTGATGGCTGCAGCCTCCTTGTCTTCTGGTTTGTGTTTCTTGTGCACTAATCAGTCAGGACATAGTAATGAAAAAAGGCCTAGACTTAGAGATAAAAACCACTTTGCAGCAACTAAACATTAGTGTGTTATTAATATTCTTTCCAAGCTAAAGATAAAACACAACATTGTACCAAGCAAACCCACTCTGTTCCAAC